ACGTCCAAAAGGAGGAGAAGCTGGCAAGGCAAGCCGGCCTTTCCAGCGAAGAGCTCCGGGACCTGGTGCTCTCCTTCAGCGCTCAGGCGCTCCCCCGCTTGGGAGCCTGGTTTGCGTTTTTGGAGCGGAGCCAGAAGTCCTCGCACCCATCGAAGTGCTTCCGCTGGCAGGGCCGCACGGCCGCACATTGCTTGGCCAGCGGCTTGGACGACTACCCTCGTGGTTTGCTGGTGAACGAGGACGAGTGCCACCTGGATTTGCAGAGCTGGATGGCCCTCTTCGCAAGGACGCTGGCCCGGCTCTGCAAGCACCTCGCAGAACGAGAAGCGCTGAGCAAAGAGGCAAACAGTGCCTGGTGCGTTTTACCTCGATGGTCCGAGCGGGCAGCGGCTTTGAATGCGAGCCTCTTTGAGGCTTTCGTGGACCCCAAGGCCCCGAAAACTGCTCCCTTGGCAGACTTCCTTGGGCTTCAGCCCGTCGAGCGCAGCGGAAAGGTCCGGGTGTTGCCGCCCTGGCGATCCGATGGGCGATGTGGCCCGCAATTCCCGGTGGGCGGGTCTCCAGGGGAGTGCGACCCGTACGGTGGCGCGCCCTGCTGCTCACCTTCTGGGTGGTGCGGCGGATCACCCGACTTCTGCGAGTGTCCTGGCTGCAGGCGCTTCGTGAAGCTCGAGGAGCGAAGTCTGCAGACAGGCATGGCAAAGGCCTTCTCGCCACACCTGGGCTACGTGTCGCTGTTCCCTCTTTTGTTGGGACATCAGCCCTGCGACCACCCAAGGGCCGCAAAGCTGCTGAGGGCTTTGGCGCCCAAGAAGGGGGAGCTTTGGAGCCCCTTCGGCGTCAGGTCACTCTCTCGCAAGGACCCCCTGAGCCGCCAGGGCGAGGATTACTGGCGTGGGAAGATCTGGGCGAACTTGAACTATCTGAGCCTCTCCGCACTTCAGAGGTGCTCTCAGATACCAGAGGCCAAGGAGGCCTACGACTCCCTGAAAGAGGGCTTCGTGGGTGTTGTCTTGAAGGCTTTGCAGGAGCAAGGCTTCTTGATGGAGAACTTCGACCCAGACACCGGCAAGGGCACCGGGGCCGCACCTTTCGCAGGCTGGACTGCTTTGGTGGCCCTGGTACTGGCAGACCTGCCGTTCGCGGACCTCGGTTCACCGCTGCAAGACTCGCACAGAGAAGACCTCTGAGGCAGGCCTTGGGCCTCGCAGCCCTTGCTATGAAAAAGGCTTCGCCGCGTCTTGACGTTGAGCAGACGCTGGAATTTGGGGTTTCAGGGAGTGGGAATGTCGACTCGACTCCTTGTCCAGGTCGGGTGTTGGAGAGCTTCGGATTCGGTGTCCGGAGAACGTACATCACCGAAGCTCGAACACTGACTGACGTCTGTGGCAGTTGCGCAGCCCTGACACCCGCACCCCCTGAAAGCCGTAAAGCTTTGCGCCCTCCCCGTAGTTTACACGTTGGTCAGGTTGGCTCGAGTCTCGGTTTTCAGTGGAGTGCCTTGAGGTTGGGGTCGCTGAATTTACTGTGCCATTGGAGCCCCGACACTTTTTGCGTGTAGCCACCGGGCAAGAAGACAAGCAACTGCTCTGTGACACGGAATTTTCTTATGTTGCAGCAAGAGAGTTCACCTCAAAAAAAGAGCCCATCCGACCGTCCCGCACAGGCGCTTTGGAAGAGGCGGATCGTGCACATGCTTGGCCAGGACAGAATGAAGTTGTGAAGATGGTCGCGAAAGGCGGATGGCAGGTTGCTGATTGATACTGTACGGTCTCAAGGCGGGATGTCATGGCATCCAGATATCCTTGAGATCTCTTCAGGCTTCATCTTGGTTCAACTTTTGCTAAATGACCAGCAGATCTGCCTCAGACTGCCGGCCATTTTTGCGGGGCCATTGTTACGGCGTCGAAGACAGAAGAAGATTAGATGTCTGCAGAAATACACGAACTGACGTAGGTTGGAACCGAAAAATACATGAGAGAAGTCGGCATCAGAAGACCGATGACATGGCTGATGTAGTTGTCTAGAGTCTAGATTCGTTCGGAACGCAGGAAGCGTGAGGACAAGATGCTAGCAAGTCCCAAACGCGTCGTCAAAAGATTCGGCCCGCTGGCAGGACCACCCTGCATCCTTGTTGCTGGAGACAGAGAGTCCCGACTCTGCGCGGTCTGTCCTTCTGCATCTGGCTTGATACTGGCATTCCAGTTACAGTTCATCGTGTGATGTGCTCCTTCAGAATTGGAAGTCAGCAGCAGCATCAGCACGTCTCGTCGCACCCGACTGCACACATCCTTCAGGCGCATTAGATCCATGTCGCGGAATTCAGAGCCCCAAACCCCCTTTGTACATGCGTAGTGAACCGCTGAATTCGCGTCTTCCAAGGCAGCCCTTGGTGTCGCAGAAACCGCGGAGGCATCACGTCTCCGAGGCTGGAATGGGCCTTTCTTCGTCGGGGTTGTTACGAAAAGCTGGCATGTTGCGAACTGTTCCGAAATGAAGGGCGGGGGGACGTCCTTCTGTAATGGGGGCCACGGTTGATCTCCACCTACCATGACGCATCCGACTGGTTTCATGCTCACTCGCGCTAGTTTGCATTGCGTTCTCGGTGGCTTATGCAACCTTCGCTGACGTAGTCACGCTATCCGTCATCATCAGCATCGATTCCAGTAACTTTGCGTGCCCACGTACTGTGTTTCTGTTTTGTTGGCGCGGCTGTTTCATCTTGTAGTCTACATTGTAGTCGCAGTAGTCGACTTGCTGTAGTAGACGTCGTCGTCGTCGCGGGGGTGGTAGTGGCGTTGGCACCTAAGCCACAGAACCAAGCCTCCGACCGCAGCCGCCGTAACTGCATGGCATGGTATTTTCTCTATTTGACACTCGTTCCGAGGCCTACCAGCAAGCTGAAAGCCACGTCGCCTACTGAGGCCATGCGCGAGCTGTCTGTGCCCAGAGGAAGCGGGCTGCAGCCCTCTCAGTCGGCTTATGACCCACACTTGCATCTTCCTGGAGTGACTTGGCCAGCCTTGATGCGAAGGTTGGGGATTCGTGGTGACGTTGTGTTCTTTGTAGAGTCTCTCCATGTCCTCTAGGACCCTCCCTGTCAGATGGCTTGTCTGCCCCGTCTCGAAGAGCCAGGCGCAAACATCGCTCCATGGGCAAGCCAAGCCTTCTCATTCTTTCTCCGGAGAATCCCCGGCGGCATCCCGATCTGGCTCCAAGAACAGCGCGGCCCACTTCGATGTCCATGCTCGTGACTTCAGCAACTCGGGTGCTTGTCATGGGTGAGTACTCCCGAGGTTGAACCCAACAGAACGCAGCAATTTGCTTGGTGCTCCAGCTACATAAATGGATTCTTTGCGTTTTCAGATCTGGACCATCATCAAGGTAAAAGCGCGCCACTGCAAGCTTTCCGGGGCGCGGACAACGAGCAGCAGCCACGGCTGGCCTCTTGTCAAGCTTAGCTGCTGATCTTTCGCTAGATCGAGAGATCCAACGAGTAGACCAGAGGCAAAGCGGACCTCGCAGAGCAATTTTGGATAGTTGCCCTTCGTTTGGTCCAAGTGTGCACCAAGCGAACGCCGCGAACCCCAAACCCGAAATGGCCGGTCTTCCATTGGTCAATAGAGAAGCGTTGCCGGAACCTTTGCCCAAAGCCTGAATCCCTGGTCGCGAAAAATCTGTTGATCTGAAGAACCGTGAATGCCGTAAGTCGGCTATCGCTGAGGGATGGAGTTTTCCCAAGCGAGTAATCTGCGGCACAGCTCATTGTCAGGAGAACCCGAGCGGAGTTGTCGTGGATCCATGCCCGCCCTGTGCGCATGTGCGAGTGGAAACGCCCAAAGGGCCTCCAAGAGCCCTAAGGCAAAGTCCAAGGAACCCCAGCTCCCACGGCCACGGCATAAGGAGAGCCACAAGCTTGCCTTCGGCAATTATCGGCCACAGCTGCCGGCTCAAGTGGAAGCTACTCGTCGTTTCTCCCAAGCCTCCACAGCGCTTTGGGCTTCGGGTTGTTGGTGCTTCCGTGCCAAAGGGTTCCCAGACTCCGGCTCGACTTTGGGGTTCAGGCTTCAAGAAGTCTTGGATGCCAATGAAAGGGGCTTTCCATCAAACATGCGGACTGCCTGACCTAAGGAGACGGGAGTTTCCTCGACTTCGCTCTCCAGCTCCCCGACATCGCCCCCATGGCCCTCGTGGAGTCAACTGACACCAGAGCGCATTGAGAAGAGCCCTGGCCCTGCCAAGAGGCATGTCTCACACATGTGATGCTGAGCCCTGGCAAGTGCACCCCACGCCGCCCTGGGCCCGGCGTGGGGTTTGTTCCGAATCTTGGGGTTCTCGCAGCTTTTCTACGTAGTCTTGGCTCAGAGCATCCTGTTTCACGATCGCGTCGCCCAATGTGGCACGCACACAGTTTCTGGAGTCCAATCAGATCGCACACAATGGCGAGCCGAGAGACTCAAACAGCCGGTTCATGTCTCCGCAGTGCGCCTCCACAGCCCCTGCAATGCAACAGGCCGTAGAGTAACCAGCATATGCCTGAGAACAGTACTCGTAGCAGTGTTCGGACTGGCGGCTGTTTGTGGCAGGGTTTCACGCTCCTGTGCAAAGCTCGGGGGCTTTTGCCCTGACTGCTCACCCGGCCGACGCCAAAAAGCGATAAAGAGCATTGCGAGAGTTATGCGGAGGGGTTTTAGGGACTTTAGGAGGATAGGCTGACCTATCTGGCTCGGAAGGGCATGAGCCTCTTGAAGGTGTTGGCAGAGTCTCCTTGTCAGATGCCAACTCTTGAACCCGCGCACATCTGTTCTTCCTCTATGTCAGGGATGCGTGGCTTCGTTTGAGGAGGCAATGTCATGGCATGCTTAGGTGCGATTCCGCCTCACTGAAGTTGGGTATGGTTGGTGGGGTCTTCTCAGCTTTCGCCAGTGTACCTTAAAGGTTCTTATAAGGTACCCCCAAAAAGGAACTACAATGGAGACTATAGGTACCGTTGCTCCGAGGCATGGCTGGCATTGCTTCAACCAGGTCTACGAGGCGTACATGAGCATCTCGACCTTGGGCCTTGCAGCATTCGAACTGCATGGCAGCTTCCGAAAATAAGGGGTACCGTATTTTGGGTCCATATATTAAGGATCCCTATATTAGGGGCCCCCTATTTTCGGAAACTCCTGCATGTGCAACGGAAGCACTGACACACGAACTTCAGTGGTTCAGCGTCAATTCTGGAGCTAGTGGTGTATGCACCTGAGGCAACCTGAAGAAAGGATTCACCATCAGGCGCCTTGGGCGAAGGGTTGGGGGTTCGGTTGCTGAGAGTTTGGAGGGGCTTCGATACAAGCTCGGCTTCACCATCTCTGGCAAAAGGGTCGAATCCCCATCTCAATCCTCATCGATTGATATCGTCGCCACAGTCGCACCGGCGCTTCTCTCATTCCTTCACACGCATCAGCAAGGGATGCATAGTTCCGTTTTCTGTCCTGTTTGATGGACACCACGCCTCGAATGCGTTGTCGGTCAGTTTTTGGACGCCGAACACGTCGAGAGCTGTGCAGTTCTCAAGAGCCATTGGGAGTTTCAGAAAATTAGGGTACCTTATTTTGGGGTCCTTATAATAGGGATCCTATTATTTAGGGTACTATATTAGGGTCCCCTATTTTCGGAAACCCCCATTCGGAAGTTCAGAAGTCTTGCCGTTGCAAGAGTTCAACCCTAAACGGCCCTAAGCTTCCGACAGTCTCAACGTCGCTCACAGGAACTACACGATGTACCACCCGGCTTTGAAGGCTTTGATCATCAGCAACGAGCCGGACCTCAAGGCCAGGGCATCTGTCTTGAGATTTGGGGACTCCCCACTTCGGCTCCACACTCTAAGGGAATTTAGGCTCTTTGGCGGGTTCCTTTGTAGCTTCAAAGGGCCTTCAGGTTTTGGGCTTGAAGGTTTCAGGGCTGTTCCGCTTGGGTTCAAGGTTACAGGTTGGATCGGATAGCCGGTTAGACTGACACGGTGTATCAGTCTACCATGCATGTACACGGTCTAAGTGGTCTTCGTTGAGTGCTGCTTCATGGTACGCTGAACAACTACCCACGCGTTTCTCCTGGAGTTCCCTTTTGCATGGCCTTGCCATGCTGTGCTTCCCGCACTTTTGAGTTTCTTGTGTTGGGCTAGGTTTGAGGGAAGCATACGGTTGAACGAGGTTCGACTTGGATCTAAGCGGACAGCAAGACTCCATCATGTTGGGTGTGCATTCCTGGACCCGTAGATTCCATGAGTCGTTGGTGCCGAACATCTACCCCCGAAACCGTGTGGTCACATTTTTGGGAGCCAGCCTTGTGCCAATCACTCACAAGCCTTCGAGCAAAGGTGCATCCGCGGACGAATGCTTCTTGTCTCCACCGTGGCAGGGGTGACACAAAAAAATCCTCAGGGCTTGACCTGGCCTGCGGCAGTGCGCTGCTGCTTCTGCCGATGATGACGATGATGATGCTGATGATGATGATGATGAGGATGATGATGATGATGATGATGGTGATGATGATGATGATGATGGCGATGGTGATGGCGATGGTGATGGTGATGTTCGGTTACAATGACTTCTCGTTTGCTTCGCTGTTTGCTCTTTTGGCACCGTGCCTATGCGTGTTGATGCGTGCTGCCATGCCTTGATTCGCCACACATACAGAAAACGAGTTGTTGTGATCCACTATGATGTGCTGATTGATGGCTATACCGCACCGTATCGCAGTGATGCACACTACACAGGTTGCAGCATGCCCTCCGATGACACATGTGATGTAAGCCTGGGCCAGAAAAGCTTCCAGCGTGCGTGCAGGGGCCCAGATGTCCTGCAGCCGCCGTGGTCGAAGGTAGTGTCGGGCTTGAAGCTAAGTCATTACTGGCATCAGGTTGCTAGTAGATGGAGGTCAGGAAGGGCTCCTGAAACTGAAACCTGTGGCAACAGTTCGATTCACATTGGGCTCACAGTCCGGAACAAGGGGAATATGGGCGGATGAGGTTAGGCTTGATATGCTGTCGGAGGGTGGCTATTGGAGCCTGTGAGTTGATGATGTTCGTGCAGTTGCATCATCAACGATCATCAACGTACCTGTCTCGGCGTCGTTATGACCTGACACCTTCAACTCCAAAGCCAAAATCCGAGGTTTGTCGCGCGATGGTCACAAGCTTGGATGCAATCCTCCAGGCTGAAAAAGCCCAGTGGCTGCAGCACTACAGGGAGGAGTTAGAGTAGCAGTAGTAGCCGTCGTCGTAGTGGTAATGGTAGTGGTGGTGGCGGTAGTGGTGGTGGCGGTGGCAGTGGCAGTGACATTGGTGGTGATGGCGGTGGTGGTCCTGCTGGTCGTGGTAGGTTGGTGGTGGTAGTAGTTGCTGGAGTTGTAGTAGATGAATAGTCATCGTCGGTGTTGTCGGACTAAATGTAGTCGAGCTACATTAATCCGATGAGAATCGGAGCAGGAGTAGTGGGTTAGTACTCACAGCGACCACGTTCACCACAGAGTCGTCGATAGCATCGCGCATGGTGTATGCTTGCACCTCTGCTCATGTATGTGCTCGTAGGTCGTGCAGGGCCAGGGCGGGAAGGGAAGATTAGGACAAGATGTCGTAGAATCAGTTGTTTACTGGCTAACTACTACGCATATTCGGATCGAGACGAACTGCTCAGACCTTTGCTTTGGCAGTTGTCCTTGGCCATGACATTATTCGCCCCTTGCTTGGAGTACAAGAACGATCCTGCAGGGCGTTCGAACTACATATTTGCAACCTTCAGCTAAGCTGAGTTTGTGGTAGGTAGGATTGTGCAAGGTCAAATCACTTTAGGCCGCGCTTGTGGCATTCAGCTCGACGCTTTCTTGTGCCAAAAAGACGCTTTCTTCCAAGGACCTGAATGTCACGGAGATCCTTGGCGAAAGAAGACGAGTCAAAGGTTCATGATGTCTTTGCGGTTTTGGTGTCCAAGAAAAACGAGTGGCATCAGACTTTCGGATTGGAGATGAGTGGTGTTTCGCATGGTCGGGGCGTGGCCGACCAGCAGAAAGGCTTCGATGACAGTTCTGCTGAGGAACCCCATCGCGCTGACGGTGACCTATTCTTTCGCTGCTTTTGGGAGACAAGCTCCCGGGTTTCTTGCTCAGACAAAGTAGGTCCTGCACGGTACCTGCAGGTAGCGACTCCAAGTTTTGAACGGGATCGCTTTCACCGGTCTATATCGACATTTGGAATTGGTGAGCAGGCTGCAAATTCCGGACTAGGCGGCCTTCGTTGTCCAGGTTATAGGGAGCCTTCCGCCCAAAAAGTGCTTTAATTGTATGCCCCAAGAAGAAAACCCTTGGCTTTACTGTTCAGACCCAAGCTGCTGCACTGCTAAACCCTCAATCCCGAACTTTCTCCTGAAGTATTCTGGAACTCTCCCCAGCTGGCCAGACCAAGCGATCCGGTAGGAAAGAAGATAGAAAGCAAAGCCTAGCACGCGCCCGTAGGAAGGGAACCTTTTAAACTTACCGCAAGCCAAAAAAAGCTCAAAACACAGCCCTATAGAGGCTCTAAGAGCCGTGTTTTTTTTACCCCCAACCTACCGTGACTAATCTGAGAGAGTCAAGGCTGGGGCAGATGGAGGAGCTCTACCACTGTATGAAACATCCGGAGAAGTCCCCGACGAACTACATCCCGAAGCTTGACGCGGACAAGTCCTCGTTTCGGTTCGATTTCGGTTTTTTTTGGGTTTCGGGTCTGGAGGCCTGGGTGTAGCTGGAGTGTACAGTCCATGACGATGCCGGAGATGCCGGCCAGATCAAGAGGCGGTTGCACTGCGTCATGCCTGATGTGAGCGTAGATGGCAAATACAGCTTGCCGTCGCAAGGAGGCAGTGCTTTATCCCATGCAGTACTCTGCGGGTGTCATAAGACAAGTTAATCCTTAAGGGGGCATGACTCAAGGGCGGAGGATACTAGGGGTCCTTAGGGAAGCTTATGGCAGGACCCTAGTCCCTTAAGGAAGTTTTGCCAGAAACTTGACCAAGAAACAACATATCCAGAACCGATTGGTGTGAGAGTTTTTGGTTGCCACCCCTTCTGTCTGGCATGGCTGAGAACTTATAAAGGCTCCAACTATGCCTACGCTGCATGTCCCATGCATGCAATCAGCAATCTCCAACTCTCGTAACTTTCAATAAACCACCCAGCGTTTTGTGCCCAAACAAAGTCCGAGGTCATTCCAAGCTAGCTCTGAAGCCATGTGTCAGAGCTGAGGAAGAACGATGTGTTTACAGCTTACAAGAAGCGCTGGGTCAACAGCTTCAACACGGCCGCACCCGGTCACGTCGTCGAGGAATCCTGTGGGAGGGAGAGCAATGGAGGCCCCGAGGAAGGCCATGAAAAGGTTGCTTCATGCAGCTCTTGTTAGGTCAGGGAATGCGGTCGTTTGGGATGTAGCGGGTAGACTTCCAGCTGGAGCTATCAAGCTCGGGCTCTTGAGTTCAAGGGACGACGCCGCATCTTACGACTCCTTGCAGGATTGTGCATGGCAGCAACTGAGCGGACGTGCGAATAAGCCGAACTTTGTCCACGTTGCAACAAGTCTGCCGATCCTTGTCTTTGCCTTTGCGCCTCCATGGATCTCTCGCGTGTGCTGAGAGTGTGAGACTTGTGAGGGTTTGTCATGCTGAACGTTTAAGCTCCTCCCACGGAATATACGATCATCTTGTCATCTCTGTGTCCAGTCGCGCACAAGTCTTCTGCACTTGTTGTGTACTGGGCCAGCAGTATGCCTTCAAGTTTGCCGGTCCTGTGATTTCTGCTTTCCCCTTTGGCTTCTGTTTCGCCTGGCCTCTCAACAGGAGCTTTTCTTGGACAAGCACCTGGCCGGCAAAGATCACCAGAGTCCCTAGAGGGCAGGCCGTGGAGTCCGAAGAGGCATCAGAGAGGTGGAGTTTGCATGCAGATGAAGCTGGTAATTTCGATGGATCTCTGACAACCTGTATACAGCACGAGGCGAACCGTGTGAAGGGTGGAGGTGCAGTCTCTCCCGGGGCTTCCATGTCTTCGAACCTAAGCCGTCACAGTGGCCCCAGTTGTTTTGGATGGCATCTAGAAGTCCTGGGCCGAGGTATGCCAAGAGTATTTTCTGGTCAGAGATTCGACTGCCAGTGTTCATTGGTGAGTACCACAGCGTCCATGTCGGCGCCAAGGAGTGTGCTTGCGGGGTGTGTAAAATCGCCAGGAAAGGGGGTTGCTGCTGAGCCCTGTCATGTTCGGTGTTTAGGGAGGGAAAGAGCATTCCTGTCTGTCGAAGTGGTGTTCAGATATTCTGGCCACATAAGGCCGAAACCTTGCTGGGCGGCTGTCTCTGCTTTCCGAAGCCAGTGCATAAACCAGCATCGCCGCATCCCTTAATAGCATGCTGTTCTTGTCACGACAAGAAACTTACGAACCCACTTGGCACCGAGCGCCCTCAGAATAGCCCTTGGCAAGAGCCCCCATTGGTGGAGGAAGACCTGCCGATTTTGGTGAACGATGCCCTTTCATCGAAGTATCCCTTCTACTTGGGCTACAACTTCTTCGAGCCATTCGGCAACAAAGCACGGCACGGTCCATCGCCATATCGGAACGAGATGGGCGCGAATGTGCTACTTTTGTTAGCCACCTCACCCCCCACCCCCTGCCAGCTCTACCAACCCAGCTACCCTTGCCAATTCCGGGCCCGGCAGTGGCAGCTTCTGAGGTTCCCTAACTGTGACAGCGGACACACCGCTACTGCCGTGCACAACGCAGGTATGCAGGTGCTGCTCAGAATGTGCTAGCACCCTTAGAACCAGAACCCGAGAATCCTTAGGTAGTGCGACGTGGCTACGATGACTGCGACGACGACGACGACGACGACGACTATTACTACTGCTGCTGCTGCTACTGCTCCTTTTCCTGCTCTTGGTCCTGCTGCTGCTACTACCATTTTTTGCTACTCTACTACTACTACTACTACGACGACGACGACGACGACGACTACTACTACTACTACTACTACTACTACTAGTGAGGTGCACTTCCGCTGATGCGGAACTTTGTTCCCACTGCTACAGTCTTGCACGGGC